GGCTAGCCCCTCGAGTTTCAGAAAGACAGCATTCTCATTCTTTTTCTTTGAAGCCTCTGTCGGTGTCATACCGATCGATCTATGTTTTCGATTGTTATACTTTTCAACAATCTTTGGCAGAATATCAAACTATTGTGTATTGTTTTGAATGGTAAACTGCTTCCACATATCTGTTTTGATCGTTCGATTCCACCTCTCACAGACAGACGATTTTTCCTCATTCTCTGTCGAATACATCTCAACACCTTTGGCTTTCATCAGATCTTTAACATGGCTGTTGTAATACTCCGATCCTTTATCAATCCAGAGTCTCTTCGGCACCCGCCCCTCGGTAAATATCTTCTCGAAACCCTCCGCCACACTCTCACCCTTTTTATTCTTCAACGGAACGATCCAGCCGTATTTGCTAAAGACATCCAAAACCATCAACAGGTAACGATAACCTTTATTCCACTTTGCAAACTTTTGCATCTCCACCAAATCGGAACACCAAATCTCATCGATTCCGTTGACAATAACGCGTCGTTTTCTAAAGTTTCGCCTCACCGGTTTGTGCAACTCGTCTGCCAATTCTTCTTGCCACCCTGCGAGAGGCATGCTGCCCCTCGAGCTCCCCTTCCTCTCCAATCTTAAAGGGCTAGCCCCTCGATTTACGCTTTGATCTTTTTTTTCCCACACCCAGACCGAGCTTTTGCTTTGTGTTGATAATGTTTCTCGCAACCCAATGACCCCACTGTCTCTCAGAAAATGGAATCTCATCGAGAGCTTTAACCATCTTGCGGTCGGCAACATTTTTACACTTTTTTGAATTCTTCTTATTCGCACAGACGCTGTAATCAACATCGTGTTGCATAGCGACAGCGTCAGTCGGTCCTGTTGGTTTATCAAAAATCTCGAGAATCTCTCCTGTCTTTGGATCGTATCGAACCTGTTGCTCAAGATTGTTGTACGGTCCCATGTATTTGTGACCTGGAAGAGTCCAACCGGATTTCGGTTTCGGCAGTTTTCCAATGGCTTTGTGAATATCGAAAGACCCCCCTTCATAAAGAGGATGTGTCGGATCATTAACACCGTCGGGAGCATACATTGACATTGGTAACACTTGATTGACGTCATAAACATTTCCCCCACTTATCTTTTTACT